ATGTCACAGTTTGGTCGGAATCTCTAGTTTGAGATATAGGTGCACTCAAAGTCATGTTCTTTAACTCCATCAAGAAAAATCTTGAAAATGCTAAAAGAGGCACTTGCGTAGAAACTGAAAGATTGTCGATGTGACCCATGACATGAAACCATATTATTTCGGGAGGAGAATATTCGTGTTTCCGGAATATATTGATCTTTAGGTTTCTTTGAATCCAATGAGTTGTTCTGGGTAAACAAGCTCACGTCTCTAGGGAAGCACTCGAAATTGCTGTTATTAAGAGATACGATTTTCATAGGGCTCCAGAATTCTTAAAGTTTCTACAGAGTTGCTTTCTGTTTAGCAAGAAAGCCGCTACTACAGCAACTTTGTACAATTATGTTTCTCAAAACAATTTAGCGGTTATGGACGCTTGGAGATTCAAGATGAATTTTCATGTCTAACATTTAGACAATTACTTCCTGTCTTTGATGAAAATTTAATTTCTTTCTCTCTTTCAGTAACAGAGGGTTCGAAAATAATGAGTGAAGTAAAATATTCGGTTATCAAGTGCGGTATTTACTGAAGCAAAAAGGGGCTCTGAGAGACTCGTGTTTCACAATAAATTCCTGCGGTTTTTCTCGGAAACTTGACAGAGTAAGAACAAGTTATTTTAATTTTAACAATTAATTTCAGAAATCGTTAATGCATAAATGTATTGCTGTTCTGGGCGTTGAGTTTCAATCTGTTTACTCCATTCATCGTGCCACTGTTTTGGCAGTTTCGTTTGAACTACTACACACGAAAGGATCTTATTCTCTGTATTGCTAGCTATTTATATACAATATATCGATATCTTGCGCAAGAGAAAACTCTAAGTTTTTGACACATGCAAGCCTCAAAGGAAGGCTCTGAGACTCGTACTTTCTTGAGAATATGATTAATAGCAAGGGGTTATTCTTGATTTTTGAGTGAAATTTACATACACCTGTCAAATATGATAATAAGATCATTGCCTTAATAAATGAACTTGCTTGAAGAAGCATATTCTTATATAATTATCAGTGGCGTGCCCATCGAGATAAATTCAATTGACGTGCCTATGTTCGCCGCTTATTTATAACCCGGTAACTTTTGCTTGCATACTTCTAACAGTATCTTGTCACACTCGCGACTTCATGGCCGTTTTAGCTAAGTAGATTTGGGTTATGAAGTATTAGACATTCTATCCCGAAAAATTTTAAATTCAGTTTTGCTGATAATATCAGCCATTTTTTTGAAGCTCACGCTCGTAACTGAAATGTCTTACCGCTGCTACGTAAGGTCTGAACAATTTCGATCGTCTTCAATTTTAAAAACCTTTGTTATTCAAATATCACGCAGCCCATAAACATAGGAAGAAACTAATAAAGTTTCAAAGAATCCTTCATCATCTCTTCAGCTTTTATACAAAAACCCAATTGAATGCAGATAACCTGCTTCGCGGGAATCGTAAAGGACTTTTGGTAGGCATGCAGTTCTGGCTCTTTACTCTGTCCAATCATATTGAGTAGAGTCACACTGACAAATATCCTCACAATTATTCGTTAGACCGTTCCTACTACGAATGCTAGACGAAGCTCTTTTCAGATTGTTACTCGATCATAGGGTTTGGATTTCGCACATATAGGAAATATTTTGTAAATAGAAGAAGTTACATGATATCTTGAAACTCAATCCAACTTAAACACACGTTCAAGTATGTCGAACTTATTGACTAGAGCATCATATGATATATATACTCAAATGAAGTTTTGATTAAACATTTACTTCACGATATTTCGCGCTTAATTTTGCACCACATTTGAAGTCGCACAAGAAAGGAGAAGCCACCCCTTTTATCATCTCGCAAGGGAAAGTAACTAAAACCTACCCTGGCCAGAGCTTAACTTTGAAGGTAGAAGGTTTAAAATCACTTACAGACCCGTCAACACTTTTAACTAAACTCGAAACGTAACATAAAGTTCAACTCGAAATTTAACTCAAAGTCCAACTCCAAGTCCAACACGAACTCGAACTTGTATCCAAACTCGAGCCTCCCTCACTACCGACGTAAACTTGTCTGGTTTCCATCTACTATAGCGCTTATATCGTAAATAGGTTGCACTGTTTGCCGACGTGGCAAATTATACTTTCAGAAGAGAAACTATAAACGTTTGTCTCACGATGTAGCCACTTCGGATGCGATCTACATCCGAAGTGACCAAATCGTGAGACAAACGTTTACATTTCTCTTTTGAAAGTACTATAGCGCTGTTACGGACAAAGCTCGACAGCTGAACCAGAAATCGACCAAAATACTATCAGAGATATAATTTCATACTTCATACATTTGCAACATGGGAAGGAGACATAAAAAAATTTCTGTACCATTTGGTGAGTGTCACCTGTGAGCATAAGTTCAAACTGAACAATAATTGCTAGCGGGAATTTCGTATATCTCGGTAACTCCACGTATTCTAAAGAGACGACAAATCAAACTTTCCTTCGCATAACATGAAGCCGAACCGGGCAAACCGGAGAAGGTGAGGGCCGCTTACTTGCAATGAATAAATGACTCATGTGTTTGCTGGTCTATATATCTTCAAACGTTGTGGGAAATTTGTCGACGAAAGATCTAACACCCGGAACTAGCGGCTGAGTTTACGTTTTTCAATTCAAATGCATGTTCGCATGATTCTAATTCAGAACTTGCGGCACTTTTAATTTATATCCTTCCTTAATAAAGCATATCACAGATACTCGAGACAAGAAGAAAAATCAGTAGCACTTAGACACTAGTTGTATTCTACCAGCTTGAAAACCGTGAGACTTTCATCAATTTCATTTCCGACATTTTCTCATCAGTAAAGCGTTTTTGTTTGCATGTGTAAGTTAATCAGCTTGAGTGGTATATTCTGAAACATTACCTACCTCAATGTTGGAGAACCTCCATTTCAATTTTAAAATAGAGCCAACTATGTGTCTACTCTGAGTAGACAAGGCCGCATCCACTGAACAAATAGCATGAATCGAAAAGCCCTTAAAATACAGCTACTCGAGACGCCAGCATTCTAAGAAATAGGGAATATTGATTCGTTCCCTGATTTCCGCGAAATCCAAAATTACAGCAAATTTGCATATGTCTTTCGAAACCAGTCATTGTAGATCGCCTAGAGGGACAGAGGGTTTATTTTTTCCTCCGGGGGCGTGGGGGGAGGGGATCACATGGTTTTTGGGGGATAGGAGGGGGAACAGAGTATTACGGAGGGACTTAAGATGATTGACCGCCAATTAACAACCATAGACACAATTAAGAGGCTACGACAACCCCCCCTTCCCTGGCCATAAATAAAGACCGGTCTCATAGGTGTTTTGCACGGTCGGAGATTCAAGATGATTTTCTATGTCCATTTAGTAAACGATATCATAAACAAAACGTTCGTTTCACTCGTCAGTACTGATCATTCCCTTGGTAATCTGAGGTTATAAGATAAAGAAGTGATATCTTCCTTTACTAATTGCAGTGTTTCTATGATTAAAAGAGGGACAAAAACGTGGTACACATGAAATTCAAGCAGTTTTCATGGAAGCTTAAATAAAATTTAAGAATTGTTACAGTGTAAAATTCCTTGGAAATCGATCTGTCTTGGAGGCGAATTCCGAGAAATGTTTTCAATTCAGCAGAATGTATCGGGCTGCCAAGATTGACGGCATGAGCTGACGCAAGGAACAAAAAGGCTTACAAGAACATACCGAGAAGGCTTGAAGAGCAGACCATTGTAAAATTTTTATTTCTAACAAACCAACATGGTTAATTGCGTCAAAGTTCTTGGCCACAAAATTGTTATGCCAAGTACTCAGACATGACTAATTAAATTTCCACGAGACATTATTATTTTAGTGATTTGGCTGCAACCTCTCGCACGTCAAGTCCAAAGCCAAATAAGAATGCGGAATGTAAATAATTAAGACTGTTTATTCGATTGATAAAAAAAGCCAGTTTCTCATGAGAGTAGAGAGCATTTCATAATGTTTAAAGAGCTCGTATATATGATCATGAAAATATCCCGAGTTAAAGACGTTGACGGGCCTCCTCAGAATAAGAAGAACTAACGACATGATGAATTTGCTTGAGAAACTGACAGCACAGGGGTAATCTTTGCATCGTGATATATCAGCACTCTAATCAAATTTAGTGAACGAGGAAGCATATGAAGAGAATCCCGTCATTTCTCGACATCTATCTCATGTGGAAGAACATAACAGATATCGATTCCTCTCCTTGTAAACCACTTTTTTGCTCTATTTGCCCTTCCAACCCAGGGTTTAGGAGGGAAAGCCGACCTTAATCAAATGAATTAATTGCAGGATGGTACTGCTCTTACTTATAAGCTCCAAAAAGCTTGGCTGATCAAATAACAGAAATTAATTTTTTTAAATGAAAATTCTCGTCCATAAAAAAGTATACAATACGCATACCTTATCGTCAGGAATGGGGCGGATTAGTTAGAAATTGCGTTATTCGTCTGCGGCATTCTTTTAATACTGTCGTACACCAGCGTTATTTACTCAAGGAATATGATCCTGAGAACATTTTTTCTTTTAAAGAAAAATTAAAACATATTTGAAAAATATTATGAGCTTTGGGAACTTTTCGAATGCATTGTTAAAACGTCGGTTCCTCATTATTACCGAAACTGTTATTGTAAATCCTGACTGCTGTTCTTCTTTTCCCCTCTCACTTCTTTTTCCTTTCTTCTTTCTTCTTTTCTCCTCCTGAAAGTTGAAGACACCGCGGTAGATATCAGGAATTACTACAACGCATGATGACACAGAAGTAAAGCTCTCTTTTCGTTGTTGTTTGGAGTTACCGAGGGAAAGGTTATTTTGAAAATATCCGCAAGGAAAACGAAGACTGGTTCGAGTTACTGAGAGGCTTGAGATATCGAGGATAAAATAATAACGACTTTATTAACTGCTAACTTGGATACTTTACTTACTTGGGAATTCCGTCTCTGGGAAATCCTCTGGATAACGGTTGATAAACAATCGTATCGGGTATTTATTTCTCATCTTTTCTATTGGCAAGTCTAGTTTTTTGGCCATCGACAGTCCTTCACGCATCATTTCTTTCGCTTTATCCTTGTTTCCTATCTCGTCATGTAAGATGGCCCATAAAGTCTTGATTCCGACCTTCCATTCGTGATTCTCTTCTAATTCTCTCTCGGCAACTTGTTCTGCCTTTCTGAATAAAGCCATTGCCTCATCAAAGTTTCCTCTTCTCTGGTGACAAGCTGCGCAATTCTTCAAAGTCAGGATGCTTTCTTTGCTTCCACCCTCGACAAGATCGTCGAACATTTCTATGGCTGCGTTATAATACTCGAGGCAAAATTTTAAGTCGTCGTCCTCTTTTGTTTCTCCACCGAGGAAAAAACGAGAGTCCGCAATGGCTTTCAGGGCTTCGGCTGTCATAAAATGTTTACCAAGGCTCTGTTGAAAGACTTCTAACGCCTTTCTTAGCTGTTCTGTAGCTGTATCACGCTGCTTGCGGCGCTTGGCATTGATTCCCGCAAAAAGAAGAGTTGCTGCTGTTTCCGGATGAAGATTACCCAAACTTGTACTGCTGACTTCTAGAGCTGATTGAGTCTCGTGAACAATTCTTTGGTTTTCTTTAGGATCTTTTTTATCGGAAAGGAAGCGTGCATAACAGTTGTGAAAGTAAACTTCTGATAACGGATTTTCTTTAAACTTTGCAGCATTCAGGAGATAAATTTCTTCTGCTCTCTGCATAAGTTCGCTGTACTTCCTTTGGTCTTTCTTCCTATATTCATTTCCAAGAAGACACGAAAGTTCTACAGCACGTACTGGCTGAACAGTTGAGTCAAATGTGTCCAGCAACTGTTCAAGGAACTGGGCATAATTCTTTGGATGAAGACACTTTTCCAAATACATGCACTTCTGTGGAAAACTCTCCAAAAGAGTTTGAGAGTGTTCCATAATTTCTACATCCTTTTTCTCCCTTCCTTGGGCATAAATACGAAGAAAATGTACGAAATTGTTTCTGTCCTTGTTAAATGAAAAAAGGGATTCCTTGCAACTGCCTCTTTTCCAGTACAATTCGGCGTTTTTCGCAAGGCAAGCCATGTAATAAATACAGGCCAGTTTTTCTCCTTTAGCTAAAAGATCGGCATACTTGGCTTGACCAATCTTCCTTGCATACAAGTGAATGAGTGGATGCATTTGATACCTTTGGGAACTTGGTTGCTCGATGAGCGAACTCTTTTTCAAGGAGCGAATAATCTTGATGGGCTGAATTCCAGGAACTGAGCACGCTTTCATTACAGCCTCGGCAGCACCTGAGTCAAAAGACCCCTGGAAAGTTGACATTAGAACGAGGGCTTCTTGTCCAGCTTCAGTCAATAGATCAAAAGAGGTCTTGATGGCCTTTTCTACAGATCCTTCATCGTCTTCTAGTACAGCAAGTGGTTCTTTCTCCAGTTTTTTAATCAGGGTTTCTTCGGTGTAATCTGAAAGCAGAGATCCAACAATACACAGGGCCAGAGGAACGCAGCCACAAAGTTCTACAATGCGCTCTGCTTTAGAGAGTTGTTGCTGGAAACCTTGTTCGTGGAGGTGAACTTGAGCAACTAGAAGACTTCTGGCCTGTTCGTTTGACAACTCGCGTAGCCTGACTTCTTTTGGTTTCAGGTCGGTATTTTGAAAAGTTCTTCTTGTAGTTATTACAAATGTGACATTTTGTCGCGAAAACATTCTTACATCACGTAAGAAATTGAGGAACAATTCTCGATCTTCAGACTCGATGACACCATCTGCATTGTCAAGAACAAAAGTGACCTGCTCTTGAATTTGTTTGCTCCAGTCTTTGAGCCACTGCCCCGGATTCTCTGGTACCTGCGTGTTGACCACTTTAAGACATGAGTTGATCATTTCCATAGTCGTTTCGTTGAAAGTAGTCTTTGATGATAAGCTACAAAACAACACAGTTCTTTCATTCTCGGGTTTGGCTAATTCACAGGCCACTCGCTTTGCTACGGTCGTCTTTCCGAATCCCGGTCCACCAGTGATCAGAATTACAGGAGCCGTTCCACTTTGAACTTTTTCTTTGATGTCTTGTATTTGATCACCACGGCCGATAACATGTTCTTCTGACAAGTCATCAGGAAGACAACTGGAGAGTTCAGAGACTTTTCCAATCTTCTCAAGTTCTTTCTCCCTCCTCCATTGTTTGAGTTCCTCTTCAACCAATTGAGCTTCGTGATCGGCGGTAGCACTCTTCAGGGACTGTAGTTTCTTCCGATGGGCGGCAACCTGAAGTACTTCCAAAGACGAAGATATTTTATTCCATTTGTCTTCGAATTCGTCATTCGGAACTCCAGTAGGAACACTGTGGCAAAGCTCATTTCTATAGCATTTGATACGCACGATGCTGGCTTCAGGGCTGGCATCAGTGTCGGCAGGCATTTTGCGCCATCCGGTCGAAGGAGCCGATAGATGACAAATTTCACGGAGTAGTAAGTGTAAGAGGGTGATGTCAAAGTCTTTCGAGTCTGGCGGTTTACCTGAGGAAGGAAACAGTTTCTCCCACTGTTCATCAAATATTACTCGCTTCCGCCTCAGCCCATCGAGCTTTGGGCGATTGTTGTTCAATGCGTTCTGTAAGGTTGACTCTGGATGTATGGAATGCAAGAATTTAATTAAAACCTTTGTTCCTTCGTCAATAAGCAGTCTTGCCAACCTTGTGCCATTCGTTTTTTCTTTCGAGAGATCCGCCACTGAGGGTCCACCAAGACCAGCAGAAGTTGGTGACGATGTTCTGCCGGCTGCCATGACCTACTGTCAAAGCTATTACAAAGCAAATTCGTTTGGAGAAGGATAAGAACGTTAGCTTGTCTTCAGATAACCACGAATTGCGATTTTCAATCGACACGAATTTTATAACCAGTCTACAGGGAAATCTCCCAATGAGTTCTGGGAATAATTTTCTATGGTTTCCGAGAAAAATCATTGTCTACGGTTCCTGATTGGTGCGGTTAAGCTCCCGCTGTGAACCACAAGCCAACCACCATTAGAAGTCTTTGGGAACTACTAAATTTAGAAATGTTCTGACTAAGTGTTTGGGTTTTGTTTCGGCCTGTTAGATTATCTTGAAATCCTTGTGAGAGTCTTGTGACCCTTGGTTTGTCATGTGCTGCAAGAACACACATTTATTTTTACTTTTTGAGTGATTTGTCCTCGACCATTGTAATATGGCTTAACTCTCGCACGGTTTTCGTCATGAATAGTCGTGTATGGGCTTGTCCTTAACCTTGCTTAGAGTCGTCAACGGAAAGTGATGTTTAGGTTTTAGCGAGTTCTTGAATATTGGTTTTGTATATACTTTGTTGTTTATTTCGACTGTCTCGTGAAATTGTTTCGGTTAGCATTCTAAAAATATGTTCACTCTTCCAAGGTCAGTTGTCCCGTAAGCCCAAACATGCCTACCGTTATTTAAAAGCGTGACCAAATGACCGAATGAATTAAAAGTGCTTGATCAGACTTCTGGTGCCTCCGCTGGCACGATTACTCAAGCTAGTTAACCTTAACAGTCCAGTAATATGAATATAGTGACTTTCAATTGAGTTGCATTTTCTTCTTTAAGCAATATTTGCTGCTTCAAGAACGAAGCTATACACGTCTGTAGTTAAAAATTAAAGTATTCCAATGACGTAAAGTACCTGTGACGGATTCAAAACATATTGACAAGAAATTATTCCGGATTTTCTCAGAAACTTGGAGAAAATATAAACAAATACACAATGGAGTTCTCTCTCGGCATCATTGCTAAGTACACGTCATATGCGATTTAATCCATCTATTGTTAGCATGCGAGGGCAAGTCTCAAGTCACGGTTGGATCGGAATCCCGAGTTTTACATGGAGGTGCATTTAGAGCTAAAATCTCGAACTGAACGGCGCGGTTTTTTCTTATTCGAAGTTTAAACGTTTCCATGAAATTTGAAAAACATTTTAAAAGCAGTCTTCACAGAGCCGAAAAGATGCTAGACGTGACCCACAACATGACACCATTTCATATGGCAAGCCATTCACGACAAAAGTGGGTTAAGTCCAAAATTACCTATCGAGTTTCAGTGATCGATATGTGAGATTGGGAAATTACTGCATGAGAAATAGAAATCATTGTACGAGAATAAAAAACTGTCATGCGAGATTTTAATTACCCATCGAGAGTGAAAAAACATTAATTGAGAAAAAGACTGACGTAGCAATGTAACGAGAAATAAATATTAACTGTTGACAAAGAGAAATCACTATGCGGATTTATCGACTGCTTTTTCTGAGCCGGTGAGCAACAGCTAGGCAGCGGAGTGTATTTTGGCGGGAAATTCTCTCATCCTCGAGGAGTCCTCGTTCGCTGTCGGATTCGAGCAAATGGTCGAAAGCACTATATATCATCGTCCTAAACCAGATGAGCCCACGACATATCAGCGGCATGTTGTATGAGTATCCGCAGGTGACAACGTGACTTCCGCTTATTCTTGTTAAAGCGTATTTTATAGTGTACTCATGGAATAGGAAGTGCGTTTGAGCCAGTTTCTAGCAGATTTGAACAGAAAAGCGGGTCTTTTGTTGGAGTATAATGACATTTTGATCGATGGCGCTGTTAACGAAATGTTTGGCTGGTTCGTAAGTTGTCGACCTGGTTTCGGTCGATCTGATTGATTGACAACACCCTAGGGCAAGACATATCATCGTCCCAAACCAGATGAGCCCATGACACGTCAGCGGAATCGTAGCGAGAGTCTTCTATTTTTCTGCTCGTTTCCGGCGAATCAAGAGACCGTGACCTGTGTGACTGACGATAAAGCGTCGTATTCTTCAATATTTTATTGCGAAAGTATTCTTCCCATAACTTGTACAAACTAATTTCTGTCTAGATCACATATTTAAGAAAAAATCTAGCCTGTTATAAAGGCGTTAAAAGGAGGATCGACACTTAAATAAAACCGGCCTAATAGTTTCGGTCGATGTTATCCTCTGACCTTGCTATCATCGACCAAAAGCAGATTCAGGTCAAAGATCATTTGCATAACTTTGCACTGTAAAATCTTTCGATTGGAACAAACATACAGTTCTTTTCTGTTTGTAATAAATTATCTTTACGTTTTATTTGACCATGATCTCTTGGTTTTCGTTCAACATCTTATTTGCTACTAATAAATATATTTACCAAGGGGTGGTCCAGTTAATATTTAACACTCATGCATTTATGTTTTGCGGCTCGCGGGTAAATATTGGCGGGAAATCTAAATGTTTGGTAGAAGAACAAACATGGCTGATAACAGTACACCTTGGGCTTCAAGATGGACCGTACAGTTTGACCCTTATTCCGGGTATGTTAACGATGAAAGCAGCGCTGACGAACTCATAAAACAGTACGAGATAGCTACGATGACACGCTTCTCTGTATTTAAACAAACAGGAGGATTTCAAATTGCATTAGGCTGGGTAAGTAAGCTCACATGTAAAGATTTACAAAACAAACCATACTGACAGTAAAGTAAAGTGAAGTATAACTTTATTTAGACACTATAGGTATTTAAAGCCAGGGGCGTGTGAGATCGTGTTGTTAACATGAAATATAGATAAGTCAAAATAAAAAAAGGGATTTACCTTTTTTCCAATAATTATTGATATCTTAAGAATACATGTACACATCATTATTCTTCGGTTTACACTGGTCATTTAGACTTTCAAAATTAACATGTAATTAAAATTCAACTTAGCTTCAAGTGTCAATTTACTGTGAGCCTGCAGCAAGAGTTGGCAAGAAATGCTTAATTAATTAAGATCAAGCTTAAAGTGTCAAAACCCTACTCAGTGCTATTGACACACAGCTGCCAGCATCCCCATCCATTACACCAGTCCTTGGGCTACATCTGGGTGGGGCAGGCTTGATTTTCAGGCCCTCCATGCTCCATTAAGCACCCATGTGTACATATGTACGTATGTGTTTGTGTACATGTATCGTATTGCTAACTTAGCTTGGTTCCTCTTCTCACATAAAAGAAAATGCAGGTAAAAATGCTAAGAACCACCGTATACAATGGGCTGACTCACAGGAGATGACAGGATGCAGACTAAGTTTTGATGGCATCCCATTCCAAATTGTGGGGGTCAAAGTTTTAGAATGCCAAAATGGGCCAGCCAGAAATAAGGCACTCAAAAGGAAGGAGGCTCAAAAGAGACTACAAAAAGATGTAAGCATGCATAATAATTAACTAAATAAGAATGTAAACAAGATGATATTATTACTTAAGGACTCCCAAAGAGGATATCATATATAGGGCATTACATAGTTATGGATTTACCTTCACCTATTTGCTCTTAAGCTAACAAGGTGGTAAGTCCCAACTGATTTTTCTAAGCAAGTTGGTGAGCACTCACCTCTCCCTCAGGGCTAATAGCAGGCAATAACGTTTTCTTTTTTACCACTTGCAAGTAAAAGGACATATCACATTTTATTTGTTAAAATAAGCAAAGTCGCAAAAAAGGACCACTGTGACTGCAGTTTACAAGGTAGGAATCAAGTACTATTTTAAAGGATACTTTTCATTACTTCTAAGTTTATTGATAACTTGACTATTCCCATATGACTGCTCTATCTAACAATCCAATAAATCTATTTGGTTTCAGAAGGAGAATGCTGATCACTGCTATAACAACACCAAACAGCGCTTTATAGTACAGGATACGAAGAAATGTGACTGTCCAGCAAAGATCCACCTAAGGAAAATAATCAAGTATCCTGAAAATAAGGTCAGTTTATTTTAATTATTGAATAAGGGTTCAGGGGGCACTACCATTAACATGAATGATCACTAGCCTAATAAAGGGTGCTTAATCCTAATGGGCCTTGTGTTACATGTAGGTGAAGTGGACATATGATAAGACAACCTGGACATTTCGTTGTGCAGAATTGAAACCAATTTACCTGTAATGGAAACAGAGTGAATATTTTAGAAACCAATTTTTCAAATATTATTTTAATTAAAACATTGTATCGTTAGATTTCAGAGAACACAAAGAGTAGAAGGGAGACAATGTCAAAATTTCTGAGAACATCCCTAGAGTCAGAAAAGAAGCAAACAATAGCTACAGAGGAGCGTATTTACATATTACTTCCTAAACCTACGGATCACTTATTTCACCCCATGGGGAGGGTAAGTACTTGGCCATCAATTAAATTTTTTTAGGAATCAGGAAACTGAAGTTTGGTGGGGAATTTAAGGTGACTTAACTTAACACAGATCATCAGTCTTCTGTAGACTGTGCTGCTTCCACTGTCATGTCGAATATATATAAAGAATGAATAAAGATTATACATCACAACAAAAGACCAATAAAATGTAGCTTCTTTTAGCTACACTGGCACTCATTCCTCAAACTCAATGTCAAGACTATAATATCACAATTTTATCGGAGAGGGATTTCCACTGGCACTGTTTTAATGGAATCATTCCATGCTATCATGGACTTTTTAAATGGATTTTCTTAAAAAATACAGTGTTCAGTAATCTGTAATTATAACATTCTGTAACTATTACTGAAAAGCCCTACCAGAGGACTGCCGATAGTAATGTTGGTATAATTTGCATTATTATTCATTCAAAATATTTCCCTGTTTCTGAAAGGTTAAAACCACTCACATATTTCATTATAACCAGCTGCTGTTGACCAAATTTGGAAAAAATTTTCTCATATTGAACCAATGACATCAAAAGCAGCCGGCTCCAGGTTATTGAACCGTTGACAAAGAAAACCTGGGGATGAGGTTGTGTAATTATTTAAATGAATAAATAATAAAGCAATTATTCTTTCTTTCTTGTTATGTAATCAGACTGCTGGGCTACTTCAGCCTATTGATGAGACACTGGTTAAAAAAATTCATGAGCTTGTTGGAAGTGGTGTTAATTGTGTTTCTGAAATGCAACGGCACCTGCATCATTATGTAAAGAAGGAACTTTTCACAGGCCAACAGCCTCCAGATCTAACCAACAGACGGTTCTTCCCAACAACCATGGATGTCAGGAACCACATGTATCGTGCCACAGTGGTGTGCAGACATTCACAAATTGATCAAGAAAACCTTGACTTAAAAATCAAGAAGTGGAAAGAAGAAAGCCCAGATGATAATTTCTTTTTCAGGCCTTACTGCCTTATAAGTGATAGTGAGTCCTATCAACAACCACAGTCACTGAAGGAAGAAGACAGCACTGATGTAATTAAAATAAGTATAGGTGATCCATCCAACAACCTCCTCTTTGTTCACCAGATGAAGTGGCAAAGAGAGCTGCTTTTTAAGAATGGTGGTGAAATTTTCCTACTGGATGCAACATACAAAACTTCATGCTATGCCCTCCCCACATTCTTTCTGTGTGTGAAAACCAATGTAGATTACTGTGTTGTTGCTTCTTTTGTGGTTCAGCTGGAAAATGCAGATGCCATTAATGAAGCTCTACAGCTCATTAAGGACTGAAACCCAACATGGAACCCTGATTTCTTTAAGGTGGACTTCAGTGAGGCTGAGATCAATGCCATTGAAAGGCTGTTTCCAAGTAAGCATGTAAACATATACTGGTAAATATTGATAATAACCATTTTATAACCATTTTCTTTATTTGAAGTGGGAAATATAGAGAGGCAATACTTATTAGGAATAAGTTCTTCTC